ATTTTTTAAGAATAATTTAGAATATTTTAGATATCTTTACATATGTTATTTTAGGTAATTTTAATACTTTAAACATACATGTTGATATAGCCATACTTGTGAACCGGAGTCAAGTATGAAGAGGTCCGAGCGAAACCGAGGAAGAGCAACATGAGGAGGTCTGGACGAGACTTGAAGGTCTCGGTGATTAAGTATGAAGTGCTCTCTGCGACTAAGTATGGGAAGTAGAATAGCTCTTTACGACTAAGTATGGGAAGTAGACATGCTCTCTGTGACTGAGTATGAGAAGGTCGAGCTGCTCTAAGAAGATAAGTAGAGGTCATCTCGACCTACTAGACCTGCTAGAGGTCATCTCGACCTATTAGACTTGCCAGAGGTCATCTCGACTTGCTAGACTCGTCTCGACCTGCTAGACTTGCGAGAGGTCATCTCGTAACTGGACAAGAGGTGCTAGAGCTCAGATCTGCTACTAGAGGTCTCTGTGAATATAGGACTCCGCTACTAGACGTCTAATCTACTAGACGTCTCTGTGACTAGACGTCTTCTCTATTAGACGTCTCTGTGACTAGAGGTCTCCGCTACTAGACCTCTCTGCTACTAGACGTCTTCTCTACTAGACGTCTCCGTGACTAGAGGTCTCCGCTACTAGACGTCTTCTCTACTAGACGTCTCCGTGACTAGAGGTCTCCGCTACTAGACGTCCAGTGACTAGAGGTCTCCGCTATTAGACGTCTTCTCTACTAGACGTCTAGGTGACTAGAGGTCTCCGCTACTAGACATCTTCTCTACTAGACGTCTCCGTGACTAGAGTTCTCCGCTACTAGACTTCTCCGCTACTGGACATCTCTGTGACTACAAGGGCATGATCTAGAGGCAGTAATTGGATAATAAAGAATCTTGAGCTGACTAGGAGGTGAACGGAATGCGAACCGTTCATGGTATTTTGGACACTTCAGGTAAACCGACCGGGGCATTTTGGGTACTTCAAGCAGGTAGTTCCCTCTATATAAAGAGGCTGAGGTAACCCTAAACCCTGACCTCTACTCATTCTATACACATTTCATCTCTCTGCTGTTGGTGCTCTCTGAGAGCAGCTCTCTCCCCCGCATTCTATGCATTTCTACTTGCATTACAGCTCTACATCACAGAGCTTCATCTTCCTCTCCTTTATTTACTGACTTGAGCATCGGCGGCCCAACGCCGGGACCTCTCCTGGCGTTGGGTTCTTGTAGGTGTTTGTGGCGGTCTAGAAACGATTTGAAGGCGGTTCAAACAGATTGGAGCTCACAACAACCGGTTTACTCCATATCTGGAAGTAGACCCATCATTTGGGGCCGCCTGTGGGGAGCTCTTGAAGGAACTAAGAGCTTTACACCTAGTTCTGATCTGTCTGAGATGGTTAAAAAGGGAAGTTTGTAGAGGAATTTGAGTGAGGAGTTGTGGGGGATATGAAGAGGAAGGAAACCTTTGGTGGTTCTCAGCCTTGAGTTTTTTATCTCTGTAAAGGGGTTGCCACCGTTTGATTCTCACGCGCCGTCATGAGCGCGTATGGAAGAGGGGCTACCTTCACCCTTGGAGAGGAAGAGCCAGTTATTTGATGAGACGCAGAGCAATAGACCCTCACCAATGACACTTGGTGAAGGGTAAAGAAATCAGGAGAAATCACTACCTAGAGACACTCATGACGAGTTGGGGTCATTCTGGACTACCTAGAGACACTCATGACGAGTTGAGGTCATTCTAGACTGCCTAGAGACACTCATGACGAGTTTGGATCATTCTAGACTACCTAGAGACACTCATGACGAGTTTGGGTCATTCTAAACTATCTAGAGACACTCATGACGAGTTGGGATCATTCTGGACTACCTAGAGACATTCATGACGAGTGGTCATTTTGGACTACCTAGAGACACTCATGACGAGTTGGGGTCATTCTGGACAACCTGGAGACACTCATGACGAGTTGGGGTCATTCTGGACTACCTGGAGACACTCATGACAAGTTGGGGTCATTCTGGACTACCTGGAGACACTCATGACGAGTTGGGATCACTCTGGACGATCTGGAGACACTCATGACGAGTTGGAATCACTCTGGATGATCTAGAGGCACTCATGACGAGTTGAGATCACTCTGGACGATCTATAGGCACTCATGACGAGTTGGAATTACTCTGGACGATCTAAAGGCACCCATGACGAGTTGAGATCACTATGGACGACTTAGAAACCTTCAGTTAGGTGGAAGAGTGACTTCCGTTGACTTATATACAACTAATTGAGACTTATATGCAATCATGGCTAGAGAGGCCTAGCTCTAAATCCAAAGGAGTTCTAGAAGAGAGAATGACTTAAGTTTCTAAAACAGCTACGAAGCTGAAGACGACTACAAAGTCGATCATCTCAAAATCCACCATGACTAAGGCTTTTGAAGAGCTGGGTGGTCACTTGTTTTGAACAATCCTAGACTTGGGTTGGGCAAGTGTTTGAAATCAAACTCCACCATGACTAAGGCTTTTGAAAAGCTGGGTGTCACTTATCTTGTACAATCCTAGACTTGGATTGGGCAAGTGTTTGAAATCAAACTCCACCATGACTAAGGATTTTGAAGAGCTGGGTGGTCACTTGTTTTGAACAATCCTAGACTTGGGTTGGGCAAGTATTTGAAATCAAACTCCACCATGACTTAGGCTTTTGAAAAGCTGGGTGTTCACTTGTCTTGTACAATCCTAGACTTGGATTGGGCAAGTGCTTGAAATCAAACTTCACCATGACTAAGGCTTTTGAAAAGCTGGTGGTCACTTGTTTTGAACAATTCTAGACTTGGGTTGGGCAAGTGTTTGAAATCAGACTCCACCATGACTAAGGCTTTTGAAAAGCTGGGTGGTCACTTGTCTTGTACAATCCTAGACATGGATTGGGCAAGTGTTTGAAATCAAACTCCACCATGACTAAGGCTTTTGAAAAGCTGGGTGGTCACTTGTTTTGAACAATCCTAGACTTGGGTTGGGCAAGTGTTTGAAATCAAACTCCACCATGACTAAGGCTTTTGAAAAGTTGGGTGGTCACTTGTCTTGTACAATCCTAGACTTGGATTGGGCAAGTGTTTGAAATCAAACTCTACCATGACTAAGGCTTTTGAAAAGTTGGGTGGTCACTTGTTTTGAACAATCCTAGACTTGGGTTGGACAAGTGTTTGAAATCAAACTCTAACATGACTAAGGCTTTTGAAGAGTTGGGTGGTCACTTGTTTTGAACAATCCTAGACTTGGGTTGGACAAGTGTTTGAAATAAAAAAAATCCACCATGATTAAGGCTTTTGAAAAGCTGGGTGGTCACTTGTTTTGAACAATCCTAGACTTGGGTTGAGCAAGTGTTTGAAATCAAAATCCACCATGATTAAGGCTTTTGAAGAGCTAGGTGGTCACTTGTTTTGAACAATCCTAGACTTGGGTTGAGCAAGTGTTTGAAATCAAATCCGCCATGACTAAGACTTTTGAAAAGCTAGGTGGTCTCCAACTTTGAAACAACTCAGCTGGATTGGGCGAGGTCGTGAATTGAAAATTTTTCTAAGTTAAACTGCTCTACGCTGCCTAGAGTTGCTCGTTGATTCCAACTTTGAGCAGCTCGCAAGCTGGGTTGGGCGAGGTCACGAATTGAAAATTTTTCTAAGTTAAACTGCTCTACGTTGCCTAGAGTTTGTTCGCTGATTCCAACTTTGAACAACTCGCAAGCTGGGTTGGGAGAGGATAGTATTGAGTATATAAAGCAGAATGAAAGAGTTGATTGCAAAATGGAACTAACATGAACTAAAGTCATCTCGACCTCACAAACATGAGCTAGAGCTCATCTAGACTTGACAGAGGAGGAGCTAGAAGCTCATCTCGACCTATTAGAGGTCATCTCGACCTGCTAGAGGTCGTCTCGACTTAACAAGAGAGGAGCAAGAGCTCATCTAGACTTGACTGAGGAGGAGCTATAAGCTCATCTCGACCTGCTAGAGGTCATCTCGACCTGCTAGATGTCGTCTCGACTTAACAAGAGAGGAGCAAGAGCTCATCTAGACTTGACAGTGGAGGTGCTAGAGGTCATCTCCACCTAACAAGAAATGGGCAAGAGATCTAGACTTAACAGAGGAACTGCCAAAGGTCATCTCGACCTAACAGAAGAGGAGCAAGAGCTCGTCTCGACTTGACAGTGTAGGTGCTAGAGGTCATCTGGACCTCGCAAACATGAGCTAGAGCTCATCTCAATCTAATAAAAGAGACTAGAAGTCATCTCCTCACAAAACTTGAGCTAGAGGTCGTCACGACCTAACAAAATAGCAGTAGTAACCAAACGCGAGCAATCGTTTATATGATCATCGAGACCTTACATAACTTAAAACACAATCGAACTACAAGCTATGAGAATTACAATGTTTCTCTAGCTATATTTACTTAATGATTTCACGAAGTTGCTATAGCTACTTCGCCTCGGAGATGTCTACAAATCCATAAACTGGGAGTTGCTAATTAACGCAACAGTCTTGAGCTATATTGCGAGATGAAAACTTTCCTGTTGAGAGCTATATAAAATTACATTGCACTCTTGTGGAAGAGAAATTATGTTTTGAAAGGCTGCTAAATTACTAGTTGCGAGCTGCTAGATAATATGACAATGATAATTTACTGATTTGCATCACAATTATAAGTTAATTGCGAGATACCTTCTGTATGTGAATTTGTGAATTGGCTTCAAGTTGGATTGCTTGGAGTGAATTGTGAAATACCTTCGGAGGTAAAATTAGGAGTTGGCTCCAAGATAGATTACGTGGAGTTATTTGCGAGACACTTTTTGGATGAAAGTGTGTGATTTGGCTTTAGGCCAGATTGCTTGAAATTAATTGCGACATATCTTTAAAAAAATGCTACACTACTTGGAAATAATTGTAAGGTTCCTTGCGATTAAAAATTGTAAGGTGGCCCCGAGCTACAAACTTCTACGGGTGGCGGGATATGGGAAAATTCGAGTGCAAGCCATCACTGCTACGGGTGGCGGGATATGGTAAAATTCGAGTGCAAGCCATCACTGCTATTGGAGCTGCAATCCAATTGAAGTTGTTACAAGGAGAATACAAAGTGCAAATAAGCAACACCTCTGAGCCCACATCACAAACAAGCATGGAGCGACATACAAATGCAAATACTTTTAGGTCATTGCAACCTCGAGCAAAAGAAAGAGTAAAAATATTATGGTCTTCGCGACCTTACAAAAGAGTAACAGCAATCATACATGAGCAATTGTTTATACGGTCATTTAGACCTTACACGACTTCAAAATAATCAAACTACTGAATTCACTCCCAAAAGTAAGCCTCGGTGAGCAACGAGCCAACGGGGGAAGGTAGATTGAGCTACGACTGCGAGTTGCAAATTGCAAGACGGCGTGAGCTGTGGGCTACGAAAAATGTGAGCTGCAAGCTGATAATAAAGCCTTGAGCAGACTATGGCAAAATGAATTGCGAGCCATCACTATTAGAGCTGCGAGCAGATGCATAAACCAAACAAGATTGGATACAACAATTCAAGAACATGACTCAATCACAAACAATCGAGACTTAACACATAATCGAAGGGAGCAGATCAGCTTACCGCAAGTAGACATATGCGAGCAAAATAATATATCGCGAGCAGAGAGAACACAAGCCTAAAACAACAGCATAAAAGGAAAAGTACAAGCAACAGCTAACTTGTGGAAAAATATCAGAGAACAAACCGCCACGTGAGCCAATCAGACCAACCAAACTTCGACTTACGAAACAAACCACAACGGAAGAAAACCGCGACTAGAATGGCGCAAGCTGATTTATAAGAAAGATTAGATACGAGCAGTTCAAAATAAGACCTGGTCGACACCACGGCAAATAGATGTATGCGAGCAACATTAGTCGACCTAATCATAGATAGGTCGATTAGATCGAGGTTGTGAAAGCAACTCACTGAGGAATACCGCGACTTGCAATCACTCGAGATCGCAACAAAAAAAAAAAAAAAA